AGCTATCATGCTCTAGCTTCACTTGACAGCTTTTCAGCTACACATTTTAATAGAACTCCCTTCTTAAAGTGTTAATTAAGAAGTACTGAGGTATATCTGTAAAACTGTTTAAAACAGTGTGTGGCACAGAAACACATGACACACAGCAGAACCCCAAAACCCAGGACAGTGACATAAATCTGCAGCGCCATAACAGTTTAAAAAAACACTTAAATCCAAATGAACAGAAGACGTCCAGTAAGTTGGAAGATATTAATGTTTTAACAGTTTCCTGACTCTGAAGTATTATGGTTTTGCCCTGCTTAAAATATCAGTCTAGCAAATGAAATATTTGAATCCAGCAATTCAGGCTGTAGCTGCGGCCCGGCCGCTCCTGCGCGCTCTGAGCCGTTCTCCTCACGGCTCGGGATTCCGGGTGCTCGTGAAGGCCCTAACTCCTGAAGGCTGGGAATGGTGTGGAAAACTTAAAGGAAGCAGGTAGCAGGCACGACTGCTGAGAAAGGCTTTGGAAACTAAAAGTTTAAAACCTGAGGGACAGAGGATGGGGGAGGATCTACATATTTTCCTGAGTCTTAAATTTTAGCCAAACTAATGATTCTGTGCAGTTTAAACTGATTTTCTTTTTATGCCCTAGCTTGATATAACTGTGATCATGGAGAGATCACATGTGTCTTTTACTACAGAAACTCAACAACTTGTAAAAAGCCCAGAGATAATTCAGATGATTTACAGAGGGATCTTCTTTACTTATCTGCGTTAGTCAAAAATATTAACAATATAGTCCTGAAATGTAAATAATGGTGAGTGATACAGAGCAGGTTCACTCTGAGCAGGGAATACATGCATAAATTTAGGGGCTAGGTCTTGCAGAACTGCAAATACTCTGCTCGGGGGCAATTTGGAGTAGTTTCCTTATCAGCAACACCAGCACTTCTCTTGCAGCCCCATGCCCTTCTGTCCTCTATCTTTTGCCTGCGAGTCCACAGCCTTAAGTGTTCAGAGTCGTAATACACAGGAGACTCCAAAAGAGCTGGTGTCAAGGTCAGGAATGACACAGGTAGTTTCAACTACAGCTTTTCAAGCAAGTTCACAAACACGTCTGAGCGACTCTGGTGCTTTGGCACCAGAGACAAGAGCTCTACACAGAAGTGTGTACACACACGCTGTCCACAAATCTATCACGACTTACTGAATTACACAAATTACACGTATAAATAAAAGATTTTGAAAAACACAAGCAACAATTTTAATTAAGAGCTTTCTTGTTTTATACTGTTTTACTGCAGCATTTAGTTCTACAATATGCAATCATTTATTATTTTATCGTGTTTTCATCACATTAAACGTGGTGCTGGGCTGCACAGTGTCCTCCTGCCCTAGTGACTCCTGACTCCCTGCCTCTGGCTCTCCAGGGTGCATCTTCAGGCTTCTCCCACTTCTGGATAACAAGGGACTAGCAGCTTTACTTGGTTCCTCTTCCTCACCTCTACCTTCTGCTTGGGCAATGCTGTTGATTACAGAAGCGGATGGTGGTCTAGGAGCAGCAACTCCTACCTTCCAAGGGTTGGGAAGCCCACACATTTGTGGAGACACATAACTGCCTTCAGAGAAAAAGTGTAATGTAAACCTGAGCCTCTCGAAGGGAGAGGGTGCAAAATCTTCCAGAAGAGCCTGAGAACAACTCGTTGCACCACGCTGCATGACGGGGAGGTTTAGAAACCATTTGTCAGAAAACAAACCAAGTCCCTGGACAACTGCACTCTAGAAAGGACATCGTCTGATCACTGCAAAAGGGGAATAACATATTTGAACAAATTACATCTTAAATATAGGGCATAGAATAAGACGCTTCCAACCTCTTCCAATCTCAAGTACCAGAGAGAAGATCTTCCAATCTCAGAAAAACAGCTTTCTAAGAACAAAATTTGTCAAAACAATCAGTATGAACCGTTGAGTTATTTTACCTTCTTTCATAGTAGACACTCATTTGTCATGACCAAGTTGTACACTGACAAATATTAAGAAAGTTTTATTCCACATCACTCTATAAAATTACTGGTTGCCCAGTCATTCAAGTTAGGGTGCACAGATGACATTTCCATGTAATTTAGTTTGAAATTTAAACTTCCATGTTCTACACACTACAAAATCCCACATCCAGCCAGCTTTCAGAGGCTAGGACAAGTGCGACATTATTTCAGTCTGTCTTCTTTATCCACTGCAATCCACAGTGATACACCAGGCCTACATTCTTTTTATATTAGGTCACTAACAAATGTTAAGCCTTGGGCTTAAAAACCTGACAAAACCTGTCGTGCTGAAACAATTGGTTACCTGCCCAGAGCTGCAAGCAGTAGTGATACATTCTGCAAAAGCTTTCGCCCCCTCTATCTAGTAACATCTTTTTCCCCTTCAGACTTAAAATTATAACAATATTAAAATGCATATTTTTAAATACAAAGAACCAAAATGACAGCTATTTTGACTATACACTGAATTTAATTACCGTATCATATGAGAGCTTGCATTTTAAATAGCCCTGTTAAAACATGCACATATCATAAAACTGGATCAATTCCAAGTCAGCCTTGTAAGAAAAGTATCTGGAAAAGAAGCTGTTGTGCAGACTTCAGGCTCAAAATATATTAACATTACAGTGTGGAACAGAGACTGTGTGTAAATGTCACGTAGACAGAGGTGTGAAGAGAAAGTTACTTGACCAGGTCAAGACCAGGGAAGAACAAACAGTTTTATCACCTCTTCAGCACTGTGAAGTTATAACCACGGAGCAAGACTACTTCTCTCTGAGGATGTTCGTTTGCAGGTTTGCATCCACTTTCTCCCCCTTGTTAGCCTCTACCAGAATATCTTCATTAATGACAGCGTTGCACTATGATAAACGGGATTCACAACGCAACAGCAAGCTGTAACATTTAGATACACTCCGTGGAGTATTCAGGAGCAAAAAAAAACCCAACAAGCTTTGGCTCCATGTCCATAACACAGGCGATAGAGACAGACGTGTGCATTTACTATTAGCACAGACACTGCCAGTCAAAGGAGCCAAAATAAGCACAGAAGTCCAGCTCTTCCAGCACAGCAAGGGACCCGAGTCCCATTTACCTCATCTTTAGAGCTAAAAACACAGTTGGAAGCAACCAGAGGCTGGTGGCTTTTAGAAGACAAATTGATTTGCTGACCTAAGAGGTACATTGCAAGTATCTTTCTCTTTCAGTTGCCCTAGGTAGAAAGAGGTGTAGGAAAGAACTGGTAAACATTTACGGGGATACATAAAGCATGCTAGGCTGGAGAGTCAATGTCTACTGATGCTTTAAAGGTCAGATTCTGTCCTTATTTTGCCTACTAATGGTAAGATAACCACTTATCATCACTTATTAAACAGATCCTCACAAATGTACATCATTGGTGAGGAAGCACAAGGTGAAGAAAACATCTTGGCTTAAGATCCTAATCACAGCAACTAAAGCACAAAATCCTAGTATTTGTGAAGTACTATGGAAAACATTATTTCATTATATCTGAGAAGAACTTTTCAGGGCTCCTTTTTCCAGAGTAAAAACAGGAATTCACATTATAGATGAAATTAGTTCCCTTTTTCATGACTATGGAATACAGTTGAAGCTTAAACAGTCCTGCTGTGCAGGAAGGAAAATATAGGATTTAGTGAACCCACTTTGACAGTTTGAAAGGTATGACTGACTTTCTTTATAAATGCTCAACCTCCAGCATACCTTTGCATGCAGAATCACACAAACGTTTTCATCTTTTCTTAAAATTTAATCAAGTATGGGATGGAAAAATCATGTGTGACTGTAAGCAGTTCCAACAATTAGGCTTTTTTCCACTTGTAAGAGGAACAACTTGCAAAGGCAAGCTGACTTGGACTTTATATCATTAAACTTATTTTCAGCTGCTTTTACCTTTAGGAAAAAAACTTGATTCATTTTGACATTTTCCACATTGAATATTTGTCCCTACCTCATTCTCAGAAGTTTAAATTGAGTGTGTACATTTCATTGAGACAAAACACATACAATTGGCTGAGAAATATTTGCAGCTCCAAGCTCTACAGCAAGGATGCAGATGTTCAACTGCAGGGAGAAGGGTAGCTTTATTAACCTAGTGAAAAAAAAACCCTGTTTGGTCCAATTATAACTAAAAGAAAAAACAAAACAGCTCAGAAGAGCCTTGCATTGGGGAATTAACATTTTTAGAAACTGACTCCCAGACTGGGACTCAACCTTCCTTGCAATTGTTGCTCCCTTGTAGCTAGGGCTACTCTCTCTGAACCTCCAAAACTAACAGATAGAAAGAGGAAAGTTTTTATGAAGTGGGGGAGAGAAAGGATTAAAACCTTTAACAATCCAAAATTTCTCAGTCCAAGCACAACTTTGAAGTTTGTCAGACATACACACAGAAGATACAAGAGGTCTACTCACTGCAACAGCTGATTTAACAAATTAAAACAACCTAGTATATTTATGAATAGAGTTGGTAAAGCATTTCTCTGTGTCTTTTTGAGGAAACAATGATTTTCAATGAGACTATGCAGGTATACTATTTTCCAGCGCTATCTATCTCTGTATTCTGCTATCTCTCATAACATAGGCACACACTGCCTCTTGTACAAGCGTTAACGGCTTCTAAAGAAGAAGAAAGAAAAAATAGACTTTCTTGTTCAGGAAGAATTGTTCCAGAAATACCCATGTAGAGCAGCAAAACTAGTTTCCTGACTTAGGATTTATTGTTTAGAAGAAACCACGTAAGAACAAAATAAATAAATTAAACCAATTGTACTATTCATATAGGTTTGCCCAGTTTAAACTGGTAATGCATTAAAACACTAATGCAGAAAAGCACTGGTGAATAAATTTGGGGTACCTTCCTTTTTGATCTTCTGCTTGCACAGCAGAATGAAATGAAGTATTCTCAGAAAGAGCTACACATATTGAAAAGCAACCGAAGTTTCACCTGCTTACCTTATCCTGGCTATATGTTGCTGCACAGGCTGATGCTGAAAATGATCAGGCCATTGATGGTGAAGGCAGAAGGACGGCGAGGGCTGCAGACAGCACGCAGGCTGATAGATGGGTGCGTGTTTTTGGCAAATAGATGCTGAATACTCAGTATGTGGCTGCAGGCAGCACGAAGTCACAGGAGACGGTGCTGAGCTGCCAACCACTGAATGACATTCTTGCTTGTTATTATGGCTACTTAAAGGGTGGTGGTATGGGCAAGGGTGGCAGCATTGCAACATCTGCTGAGTTCTTTGGTTGACTAGAGGCAGAAAAGATGGTTTGATGGTACCGTTGAGTTGCAGGCAGCCATTCGGACTCGCTTTTGCTCTTGGTGCTTCCTTGGACGGGAGCTGCTGCACAGCGACCTCTCCGTCGTTGGCTGCCACGACGCCCGGGCCCACGGTGCTCGACAAGACGCTGCCGTTGCCCAGAACCGCGGGGTCGCTGGTGCTGCTCGTGGCCATGCTCCCAGGTCGCGATGGGCGCGCGGTGTTTCTGGTGAAAAATAAAGCTCAGTTAGCAAACATCTCCAGATGCTCAGAAATACGTTTAGATTGAACTCAGTAAACCTGTGGCAACACGGGAGAATGGAAAGGAGTTTTACATATCATTGGGAATGTTTTGAAAGACTTCTACTTGTTTGACAAAAGTTAAAGCTAAGTTACATAAATGCTGCAAGATTAAACCAAAATGCAAGTCAAATGAACAGACATTCAACAGTCTCTGAGCCAGAGCCAAAATGTAATGTTTGTGATAGAAGGCAACAAACTCATTTTGCACAGTATAAAGACCAAGTAGAAAGCCACTTTTTATGAAAACAGATTTCAGTATGAATTGCAAAACTTCCCAAACCTTGCACTGCATTTTGCCGATGTGCTCCGAAAGCCAGAAAGAAACAGGACTGCACAGCATGTTTAATACTCATCAACATGACACTTATGGTAACCTCCTTTCCTATCCCCCCACTTCTACTATAAATCAGCCTCATTGGTATTTTTAATCACTTATTTTAAAGGGCCTTATTTAAAAAGTCAAAACAGCAGACATCTGTTGAAATTTCTAGACGATGCACTAAAAAAAACCCAGCAGTTCAAAAACAAACATTAGAAACACTAAAAATATAAAGTGCAACCGGGATGCTTCCCCAAACTTAGAAAGAGCATGAAAGGCTCCTAGGATTCAGCTATTGCTGACTGAGAAGCTCACCCTTCGGCGTGACAGCTATCCCCAAGGCAATTAAGAAGTGCACTGTGCTGTTAGGGCTGTTTTAAATAAATAAAGGGCATTCAAGATTTTCTTCTCATATCTTTTATTTTTCAAACAAATTATAAATGAATTAAAACTATTTATGCTGGAAAGGTGACTGCAGCATTTGGCTCACAACCAAAACTGGTCTGAGGTACCCACAACAGCTAATTTCCCGAGGTTAACTATAATCGTGCTTTAATAAGATTTGAAAATAAGTTAGAGATTATCTTGATAATGTAATTTTGATAAATAGCATGAAAAGTGAAATGGCACACTTATCTCGGGTAAGAATTTGTTTCACAAGTTGTAGGGGTTTGGGGGAGGAGGAAAGAAGGGAAAGA